CACAGGAAACTGTGGTAAACTGCTGGAATCGAACAGGCATTCTCGACACTGAACTGTCGATTTTCGGCTAACACGTTGCTGCCATCCAGTTGTCATAATTGGTACCTGTATATTTTGGTTTCCTTTGAAACTTGTTTCAAGTCGACCGTTTCAAAGTCGGGCGGAAATCAGTATGTCGGGACGGTTGGCAGGGAAACTTGATTTCACTATACTTCGTCTGGATTTGGTCGCCAACGAAATGACCTCTCAGAATTGATTCGAACTTGGCCAACAGGATGGACGAGTCGACTGGACAAACGAGACAGCGAGAGTTCGCGCCGTCGACATCGATTACTTGGCACTTCCTATGCGTCCCTGCTTCAGTGCGCGGATGCTGTACGCCATCGAGCCCTCTTTCGACCTTCCGTGAAAGGCGCGCGGTAGACGGGACCAACCGCCCAAGCATGGCAACAGACCCTAAAATATTCAAACCCGATTTATTGTGCGTTGTAGTGGAGCAGCGTTGTCGTCACTTGGCAGGAATTTTGCGGTTCGACGTCGATGATGTCCCATGGCGCACTCTTCTGTAGTACTGGTCCAGCGTCTTGATTGGAACAGCGGTTCGGCGCGCGCAGCTCTTGGCGAGTTGGAGCTGTCGTCTCGTTCGGCCTTGGTTTCTCCTCGACGTCATGTGGCTGTCAATCCACTCGATTACTTTGTCGTGGCCTTGCTGAACGATTTGAAAGCCTGCTCGAAACATTGGATCGATCTCAATGTCTTCCGCACGCGTGGCGCTCGGACAAGGAGTTGTTTTACGGTAAAAGTACACCGCATGGCCTTCGCTGGACCCTGCCATCGACGTCGGCAGGCGCCCGATCTCTTCCACGTGGAACCCGTACTGCTCGATGACTTTTCGGGGGCCGTGAAAGCTCACAAAATAGCGCGATTCTTGACTCTCATTGAAGCATTCGGCAATGTGCCCCATCGCGGCAGGAGGAAACCCCACATCGAAACTGTACACATGCGAGAACGGATCGAGAGATGTGGCGTCTGTGATGTCGCCCTGGGTGAAGATAACAGGGCGCACCTTCTTGGCCACGGTAGACGACAGCACGCTGCGAAGATTGTGGAGGCTGAGTTCCCACCGCTGGTCCTCGAGTTCTACGCCGTACGAAATGGCGACGCCAGGCGAGACCGCCGCATGAAAGTTCGGTTTGCCCAGCCCACTTCCAATATCAAGAAACACGGACTGGTCAGTCAACTCGCAATGCTCCATCATGTACTCGAGAATCTTGGCCATGGAATTCTTGGTGATCTCGCCATAAATCGCACCCCCCGCGCCATTGCCACCCAGGGCACCCGTTTGCTTGTGAATGATTTGGTAGACCGAGGTCACGTCATGTTGCACAAAGGTCAGGTCGATCTCCTTCGAACGTTCCTCGCTCAAGGGTTTGGCGGTAGAAGGCAGCATGTCAGCAGCTTTCGCACGCTTTCTTGCCGACGACGGCCTGGTGGAGTTGAGGGAGCGCTTCCTGGGGCCAACTGGTGATGTCGACGTTTTCGGTACCGGGGTGGCCGTGGTCTTGACACGAAGCGAGGCGGCTGAGTTCAGAACCTGATCGATCAACGACCGCCGCCGCAAAGCGGGGCTGGCACTGCTCGAGTTACTTGCCGTCATGTTGTCCCAGCCGCCGGCGCGATCGCAGGGCCGTTCTGCCAATAATTCACTTGTCAGAGTTCCCTCCAAAATTGGATTTACAAAAAGGGTATGGGTATTTATCCGGATCGTTAGTAAGGGGCTTACTAGTACCTACTAGTTCGTGATATGATGCAGATTTTGATATTATTTTGAAGGTTTTATACAAAGATCAAGATAATTGAAAGTCTTTTGTGTTGGTGACGTGTCTCCCAACCGAAGTCATCGCACCCGGTTCTTTCATTCTACGTTTCAACCACATTTGACGATGGTGCGTCCGTCAGTCCCCGCGAGTCGACTTCCGTGCGAGTCATGATGGACTTATGCCTGCGTGATGTAATAGGCAGCCGCTGCACCAAGCCAAGGAACTTCCGCCCCGCCTTCGGGAAGCGCTGCCGGCCTTCGCAAGTAAGTGCCAATGCAGTGTCCAAGCGAGGACTTTGCACGTCCTCACGTTTACCCCAACTGCTATAGTCGAAAACCTGCTGCCAAGAGTGTGAACAACGGCCGTGGCATGGGAGGAAGTTCTGCTGGTGTCCTCCGCTTCTACACGGATGATGCCCCTGGTCTCCGAGTCGGACCTACCACCGTGCTCGTCGGAGCTTTGCTGTTTGTCGGGTTTGTCGTGCTCCTCCATGTGTGGGGCAAGTTCCGTGGTTAGATATCTTGTATAAATAACGAAAGACAGCACCTAGATTCCATTGAATCGTCTCGATCGTCTGCGCATGCAGTGTTCAGCTGCAAAGATAGACCCCCTTGTCTCGGTGGTGCGGGCCTATATACATGCCTCCTCCATGCACGGGAACCCGTGGCAAGGCGAAACGAATGCTATAGTTCAGAGCAAGTGCCTTGTTTCCACGAGCATGCTCACCCATGGCGATCGCACCTGTTCCATCGATCCAACCTTCCTGGCCGCGGGAAGGCGCCATGAGCGAAGGATGTCTTTACGATAGCCATGTCGCCCATGGTTCCATCTGCTGCAGACGATCAACTCTATCAGCGGCGACATGATTGGTTGAAAGTTTCGAATATTGGCCAATGACTTCATCGCTTCTTGGTAGACCTTAATTTCTTGATACCACCGAAAGCAAGATGGTGAGGGCGGCGGCGCTGCGTCTGCTCCTCCTTCCGACGACCTCACACTGCGTTCATTAGGCTGCCGACAGATACAACATCAACAGACAATGGGAGCACTTACAGGCCAAATATGTCGGAACTGGCCATGCTGACACGAGCAAATTGTACGTGCCTACCCACCTCGACGTATAGCGATCTGTCGAGAACCCTTCCCGAGCATGATGTTGCTGACGTCGGTGACATAGCGAGTGGGCAGTGAACCAACATCGCGACACATTAGCTTCCCACATTGGGCACAACGACATGTTGTCGTACTTTGCGGTCGCCGAGAACGAATCGGTGGGTCGCTTGCGCTTCAACATGCTCGAGGTTCGCTCTATGAAATCGCTGCCGACATGTTTTGAATTTCTCTTACGTCGTTAGAAAATGATTCAGCCATGCGGGCCCCCGCCCAAGAAGCAGGAGGAATAGCACCGTTGCTTGCCTTAGCAGTGTCAGCTTGTGGTGTGGTTATCGCGTTTTCACGTCTGCATTCGACTCGGCTATTCCTGGGCCCTTGGGGCCATCCCATCGACTTGGTTCTGTTATTCCAATACTGACGCTTCCACCAAATTCGTCTGGGTATTACGTTGTGGATGTGAACGGCACGTAGGTGCAGTCGACGGTGGTGTTCGAGGGCAGGGACTGGAAGCTCGACACCGACGACCGCACCGTCACTTGATCGTCTTCGAGCATCCGCTGTTGATGGACAACAATTTGGTGCAGTTTCTTGAGGAGATGGCATTTTTCATGGAGCAGCGTCTCTGTGGAGAGCCGCGAGGTGTTCTAGGATGCGTCATGTCAAAAACAAAACGTAATGGTGCTGCTGCTTGGGGACCTCGTGGATTTTGTCTGCCGTTAGCAAACCTTTGGGCGTGTGGGGCTTTCGTTTCGGGGCGCTCTCGAGCTTCTGTGCCACATATGCGCGAAAAGCCTACCAAGATAGCCTCTCGCGTCAGCAGGAGCGGGCGGCTGAAGGAGAGCTGTACCTCGTCTTGGGCGGGAGTGGAGGCCCTCTCGCGAGAAGTCAGTGTGCTGGCAGGCAACGGTTTCAGTCGAGCACGCTGTGGAAGGGCCCTCTCTGTGCATGGATGTTAGAAGTGGAGCCAACTCGCGCAAAGGCGGTGGGGACCAGAGACAACCTTGCTTGATGGGACAGTGGGAAGTTGGCACCCTTTCATGAGAACCAGCTTGGTTGGTGTCTCCACGGAGGGACGACGAGCGCATCTTTTTTGTGGAACTCAACTTGGACGAGTCGGCGGTCATGGGATTGCTTATGCATGATGCTGACGCTCGGACTTTAATCCGCAGCGCAGCGTCGTGGTCGTGTTTCACGAGCTCAAACAGCTTCCGCTCGCGATCCCGCTCGACGTTAAAGTACATTTCCAGTCGCTTCTTTTGACTGGGGTTGGATGCAGCCATCAGCCGCGCCAGGCGGCGGTCTTCCTTCTTCAGACTGTCCTCGAGAAGCTTCGGCAGACCATATGAGCTCTGCGCCGACCGTCCATCTGCCGCGCCCCACGTACCTGCACAAGATGCTGATTATTCGACGCTTTGGTATGCTTCCACGAGTCTGTACGACTCGTTTGAGGCTGCTCGGGCATGGCATGCGTACTAAAATGCTCTCGGTGCCATCAGCTCTGACTCGACCACGGGGGTTTCGCCACCCATCGATGTGCCTTTCTTGTATTTTTAGCGAGCATTCAGTCCCATTCCACCGTGATTTTGTGAGTTGACTTCAACGACAAACGGTCATGACCGATGATAGCGACGCAAAAGGGATGATTGCCCAGGAAGAGCGCGAGTTGAGGAGGGTGTTTGAGCATCTGGCGGGGTTCCGCCATAAGAAGAAGCTCAGCCACCTCGTCACTACCCTCAAGGAGCGCAAGGGCCAGCTCGAATTTAGCAACTCCAACTTTAGCAGCAACAGCGCGCCCATCTTTGACGCGGCGGGCAAGAAGATGAACCAGGCCGAGATCGTGCTGGAGCTCCAGGAAGTCGAGGCAAACATTGAAGCTAGCCAAGCCGAGCTCCAGTCACTCAGTTCAAACCAAACGTTGGGGACGACAGCATCTGTCGCAAAGGTCATCAAGAGCGAGGACTTGTTCGATGCAATCAAGGCGCTCGGGAAAGTTTGCACGAAGAAGGAGATCAGCGACATGATCTGGGAAGCGGACGAGAACCTTGACAACGCGGTCGACTGGGACGAGCTCCGTGGGATGTTCAACAGGAACCTCCTCGACAAGACCGAGCTCGAGCCAGTAAATCTCTTCAACGTCGTGCAGTTTATGACGTACGACAAGAAGATGTGTGGCACCATCACGGCCGACGACACGATGGCGATTCTGTTTGCTCGGTATGGGCAGTCCCAGCTCGAGACCAAGATGAAGACGCTGTTTGGCGACAGCGACGAACTCAGCTTTGTGAATTATCTTGACCGCGTAAGCAAGCAGCGCAAGCCGAGCAGTTCAAAGCACTGACTTGGATGCGACTTGCCTGTCAACAACCACCTCACGACGCTACCACCGCCGACGCTACCGGATTCAACGTGTCGAAGAGCCTGTGTGCGTATGGGATGTAGAAGGCGCAGGAAAACGAGAAGAGGGTCGACTGTGATTAACGCGATGTTTGCACGGAGTCGTAGCGAGGCGTGTCTTCGCGACGTGTGGCTCGGAGCGGCCGGTGGATGCATTTTTCGTTAAGTTCGTGACGTTTCATATCCGGACAACGTTTGTTGCCGGATAAGGTATTCCCAGGACACGACGAACGAAATGGCTGGGTACGACGAGCTCATTCGCCGCTTGGGTGAGACCCCGCTGGATGAGCGGTCTGCGCTGACGAAAGTCGAGAACGTGGATCAAGTAGTCCGTAGCAGTGTTCCTGAAGACGCGACAGCCATCCTTGAAGAGGCTGTTGAGAAGACGTTGCGGTGTGCGGATCTCCTGGACAAAGCCATTCGACTCGCCAACAAGATCAACCATAGCAGCGCGCACGACGACACGGACGGTGACGCGTATGCTTCTGCCGTGCAGGAACTCATTGCAGCGAGTGAGAGCGTCGACGCTGTGGCGCAGAAATCGCAGTTGTTTCACGACGCGGCCAAGGCAAGCCGCGCGCTGTTGACCCATGCCGATTCCAACGTGGTTGAGTCGAAAGACGACGCGTTCCATGACTTGTACTTGGAAGAGTTTGCGACTGTGTTTGGCGATGAATTGGACCGGTTCCGCCAAGATGACACGTTTGAGGCCAAGGACGTGAGTTACTTGATCTCGTGCATAAAGGGCGGCGCCGATGTGTTCTCACCGCTAGAGAAAGCCCTTTTTGTCGCGTCTGCCACGACCTAATGTACATCTGTATTCGATTCACTCGCGTTAAACTTTAGCTCCCCCCTCACGATGTCACGACCATGCGCAGCAGCTTGAGGACTTTGTCTTCGTTCTTGGCGATCGTGGCCTTGAGCGTGTTGATCTTGTGCACTTGCTCCTTGATCTGTTCCTCGACTTCGACCAGTTGCGCCGTCAGCGGCTGCAGCGCCTCGTCGGACTTTTTCTTCTCTTCTTCGAGGACGTCGCATTTCTTCTCGTACTCTTTCTTCCACACGTCGAGTTCCCGCGCCATCGCCTCCATGTCTTCGTACACGTACTCGATGCACTTGCCGACAGGGTTGGTCGCTTGGCAAATCTTTTGAATCGACAGACGCAAGTCGTTGATCTCGGCCGCCGTCGACGTCCCGCCCTTGATCTTTTCCTTGAACGATTTTCGCCGCTTGCCGAGGCGAATGCCGCTGTCGCCGCCGCCGTCTCCTTTGGCATCGTTGTCCTCTTTCAACTTGCGATTCGCTTCCTCGTCAGCGTTCTGGTCCTTGAGGATGTCGCGGATCAATTTGCCATGCGTGTCGTCGTTCTGGAGCATCGTCTCGCGGTGATTGTTGCCTTTGTCCGCCGCTTCCAGCGCTTCGTCGTCGCTATCGGCGTTGTCGCCGTCCTTCATGATGCCCACCGTCGGCGTGACTTTGTCATCGCGCACCAAACGCCCCACCTGCCATCAATTGCATGCATGAGCGGTGCCCGCAGACATTGCTAAGGTTCGCGACGGGCTTATATCCCGTACCTCTTTGACGTTCTCCTTGAGCTTTGGCGGGCGTCGTCGGGCAGTGGTGGGGCGCGCCGTGCGGTTTGCAGTCCCTGGCTTCGTCGACGGGTCTTCGTCATGTCCAGCAGATTTGGCATCGCTCGCCAAGTCACCGTCGTCATCTTGGGCCGTCACCGCCATCGCTTTCATAGGTCCAGACTCGGCCTTTGCTTGCTGCTTGGCCTCCGATTTAGATTGAGCTGGAGGTGCCGCGGGCTCTTCTTGCGGCGGCGCTGCAACGGACGGTCGCTTGGATTTGGCCTCTGCGGACGGCGCGCGTGGCGCGGTATCCCCGGCGAGGACGCGCTGCACGGCTGCCGACGAATTGCCCCTACAAATCAAGGGCAATCGCACGAGTCGTCATCCGTTCTGAGCTGTGCACGTCACGACGTACGCTTTTGCGGCAAGGACAAGCAATTGCAAAAACTTGTTGGTATCCTCAGGCTCGAGGCCCGCGACGATCTTTGCCGGCTTGGCCTCAACTTCCACGTTGAGCTGGCATCCGACGCAATGCAAAATTTTCTGGAGGTAGTCGATCTTGGGCTGCTTCTCCTTAATCGCGTTCGAATCGAGCTCGTCGCCAGCGTACAAGCCATCGGCGAACCCTGTCACCCGCGTCACTTCCGAGATCACGTCGTGGAGGAACCGGAACGGGGGCTTGCCCAGCAACTTTGCTGACATTTTTGGCTTGGAGATGATCGATTCCACCATCTCTTTCGTGCGCTCGACATCTCCATTGCATTCCCGCACCTGATGAGCATTTTCAGTACCTATGAGGTCGTGGAGTTTGCCGAATATGGACGTACCTGGGCGCCAAATTCACCACCTGCATCGTTGTTGTCGTTCCGTGTGGCCTTGCTGTTGCTGCTTGGGCGACTCGTGCTCTCGGCAGATGATGGCTTTGGCTCACTGGATACCGCTTGCGCTGCCGCCGCGGTCGCCTCCTTCTCCCGCTCCTCTTTGGCCCTTCGAGCCTTTTCCTATCAACCATGACGAGATGGCTGCCTTGTTGAATGTCAAGCCAGCGAGCGACTTACCCTCGCAGCTCGCTCCTCAGCCTTCGCTTTTTCCTCGGCTTCTTTGACTTCGTCACGTGCAGGTGGTGCCGCTTCTTTGGCGGCCGGCGCGTCTTCGCTGGGGGGCTTCGCTTCAGCTCCACCGCTGCCGGATCCAGCCAACGTCTCTGGGAGCGGTGGAAACGCCGCGAGTGCTTTTTGGACGGCGCCGTTCCAGTCCAAGGACGTGTTCGAAGCAGCGAGGGCGAGCTCGGTGAGGAAAATGTTGGTGTTCTCGGGCTCCAACCCCGCCACGATCTTGGCGGACCGAACGTCGATCTCTTTCCCGTGGCATTGCCCCGTGCAGTAGACCATCTTGTCGAGGAACTGAAGTTTTTGGTGCTTTTCCTTGACGTTGGCCGAGTCGAGCTCGTAGTCGGTGTACAAACCCTTGGCAAACCCCGTCGACGCCATCAAGGCCGAGAAGATGTCATGGAGGAAGCGAAATGGAGGTTTCTGCAGGAGCTTCTCCGCAAGCTTGGGCTTGGCAATGAGCGGCTGCAGTGTCTCCTGCGTCTTCGTGATGAGCTCGTTCAGGTCGCCCATCGTGGTGGTGGGCAGCCGACGTTGTTCTTGGTATCCAAACGGACAGCTTGCGTGAAAGGTCACGCTAAGAAGGCTCTGTTATCCGGCCACTTGGCACATTGTATCCGGATTTCGGTCCTGATCGAATTGAATCGGTGGTAATCTGAAGCAGAGATACGACATGAACGAGTACGTTAAGGTGGCGGGTGGCCTCGCGCGCTTTGGCAGTTTGGTCTTCTGCATGCAGCAGTTGGGCGACGTTGTCCTGTGTGTGGGACCGAGCATGCTCCCAACGTTGAATGAGCACGGAGACGTCGTGCTGCTCGACAAACTGACCCCTCGGTTTTCCAAGCTACAGAATGGCGACGTCATAATTGCCAAGTCGCCGACGAACTTTCGACAGACCGTATGCAAGCGCATCATTGCGTCGGAAGGAGAGACCGTTGGACTCAAGCATCGCTACCACCCCACCAAGATCGAGTTGAAGCAGGTCCCGAAGGGCCACGTCTGGCTCGAAGGCGACAACAAGCACGACTCGCACGACTCGCGGTACTATGGCCCGGTGCCGTATGCAATGATTCAAGGCCGAGTGCTGTGTAGAGTAAGCCATCCGTCCTTCAAAGCTCACGTTGAGCGAACTCATGAACCAGTAGGTCTGGCCGTTGGCACAAATCGGGCGCCTCGACTCGGTGGAGTTGCCCGCCGCAGCAACAGCTACGACCGACCACAGAGCTGCTGTGTGACGATCCCCATAAGTTAGAACGACATCAGCGTCACACTGTTCCCGTCAGACCCGCGCTGAATACAACACATTTTTGCCATTCTCATGCTCATGTCGCTGCTACTTCTTCTGCCATGATATCGTTTGGCAACCGACGTCTGGCGGAAGAACCGTCAACGACAGGTTCGCCTCGCAGACGATGTGCACCAGTATGAGCGTGAGCTTTGACGCACGTGGATAGGATTTTGCAAGATAGCCTATCCTTGTGAGGCATCGACGCGCTCAACAAAGCTGCCGAGTCGAGCGCCACCAAGTGCCTACGGTTGAAGCCGCAGTGGGAAGTGTGCTATCAAGAGCAAACCATGTTGGGTGTGGCCTTGGACGAACAAAGTGTGTTCGAGGACAGAGATTGCACTTGCGATGGAAAACTCGACGGCGGAAAAGAGCTACCTCGGGAAGAAGGAGCTGAAGGACGTGACCAAGTGCGAGTGCGCAATTGGTTCAGCATGTCTGAGGTGGCTCGAACTGGGCCTGACCTGCCTCGAACGCTCTTCCTTCTTTCCTCCTGCACACCCCAGCAGGATCGGCATCTGAGGTTCCAGGCTGCATGAAGGTCCTTGTCCATCACTCAAATCGTGGTGCAGGAACATCCACTCTCCGCATGTTCGCCATGAAGAATCATGTGGCCATCATCACATTATGCCTCAGATTGCAAACGTGGCGCCGGATAATCCGGATACGATCGAATGAATTGATGTGTGGAATAAAATCGGCAAACACGAAATCGCAGCGTCCGCAACATGACGTCGAGCGCCGCCGCCAAGAAGGGCCAACCGACGTGGTACATGCCACAACCCATGCAATCCCTCATGGAGTATTGGGATCGGCATTATCCCCTCAAGTTGTACAACAGTATGACGCGCACGAAAACCACGTTTGTCCCGATGCAGAACAAGCGCGTGTTGTGGTACATGTGCGGCCCCACGGTCTACGACATCACGCACTTGGGCCACGGACGCACGTACACGTGCTTTGACTACGTTCGTCGCATCCTGGAAGACTACTTTGGGTATCAAGTCGAGCTCGTGATGAACATCACGGATGTCGACGACAAGATCATTGTGCGCGCCGCCGAGAACGGGTGGACCGAAGCGCACCCAGGTCAATCTTTGCCGGCTTCCAAGGACGAAGCCGCCAAGACCGTCTTAGCGTGGGCGTCCGAGCAGACCGCGGAAAGCAACATGCAACGCACGAGCGATCTTTCCAAGTACTTTGAGAAGACGTTCATGGACGACATGGCTGCGCTTAACATCAAGCCGCCAACCGTGTTGACGCGCGTCAGCGAGTACATGCCCGAGATCGTCGAGTTCGTCCAAGGCATCATTGCCAATGGCTACGCGTACGAGAGCAACGGGTCGGTCTACTTTGACACGGTTGCGTTCGCGAAAGCCAAAGGCAAGAACTACGGCAAGCTCGTGCCGGAGAACGTTGGGCAGTCCGAGTTGCTGGCCGAAGGAGAAGGTACTGCACATCCTTTCACTAGCTTCCATGACTACTACGACGCATCTCTCCCGTGTTGAACATGCTAGGATCGTTGTCTGTCGGTGCGTCGGACAAGCGCAATGGAAATGACTTTGCTTTGTGGAAAAAGTCCAAGCGCGGCGAACCGTTCTGGATGAGTCCATGGGGTGAAGGCCGGCCTGGGTGAGTCGCCATATCAAGTTGGATTGTGTGGTGCTGGTCGGGCTCATGGAGACGCGCTTAGGTGGCACATTGAGTGCTCCGCGATGGCGAGCGATGCGCTCAAACACTTGGAAGGCGGACGCATCGACATCCACACGGGCGGCGTCGACCTGCGCTTTCCGCACCACGACAACGAGATTGCTCAGTCGGAAGCGTACTTTGACTTTGAGCAATGGATCAATTACTTTATCCACACGGGCCACTTGAACATCGAGGGGCTCAAGATGTCGAAATCGCTCAAGAACTTTGTCAAGATCAACCAGGCGCTCGTGCACAACACGCCGCGGCAGCTGCGCTTCCTCTTCCTCCTGCACAAGTACAACGTCCCGATGGACTACAACGACAACACGATGGACGAAGCGGTCGGCGTCGACGCGTTCTTTAGCAAGTTCTTCCAGAACGTCAAGGCGACTTTGCGCGAGACAGGCATCGAACAGTCCCAAAAGTGGACGGCCGCCGAGAAGGCCCTGGGCAAAGCCGTCTTGGACACGAAGGAGAAGGTGCATCAAGCGCTCGCCGACGACCTTGACACCCCGCTCGCGCTCCGACTGCTGCAGGAACTGGCGAAAGATGTCAACCGGTATGTGGCGTCGTCGCCGTCGCCGGTCTCGATGGCGATCCGATCAGCCGCCGAGTACATCACGTGCATGCTCCGCATCTTTGGGCTTATCCCCAACAGCTCCGGTGACATTGGGTTCCCTCTGGAAGGCGCGGCAGGTGGCCAAGAAGAGACGCTCGCGCCTGTCCTGGACATCTTCACCGAGTTCCGCGACGAGGTCCGCGCTGTGCTGTTCAACTCGGACCCGTCGGTGGACCTGAAGAAGACGCTCATGGCCCTCTGCGACAGCGTCCGCGATTCGAAGCTTCCCCACGCCGGCGTCCGTCTCGAAGACCGTTCGGGTGGCAAGTCGGTGTGGAAGCTCGCCGACAAGGACGAACTCCTTGCGGAAATCAAGGCCAAGGAGGATGAAAAGGCGGCCAAGGAAGCCGCCAAGCTCCAACGCGCTGCGGACGAACTCAAGAAGCAGGCGGAAGAGCGTGAACGCGCACAGATCCACCCGACGGACTTGTTCAAGTCGTCGCCAGAGTACTCGGCGTTCAACGAACAAGGCTTGCCGACGTTGCTTGCGTCCGGCGAACCCGTCGCCAAGAGCCTGCTCAAGAAGCTTGCCAAGGAGCAAGACAAGCACCAAAAGCTGTACGACAAGTACCACATGGAGTAGATGTTGGAATTGATGTCCGCAGTGCATGAAGCGAATGCGTGCTCCCTGCCGCAATTTTGTCCCAGCGCCCGCACACCCTTCCTCTCGCGTGGTTGCGACCCCGCCGCGGCGGTCTTGGGAAAACCTGTGAAACTTGAATTCGTCACGCTTCCACTGTGAGAGGTTTGAAATCGACCAATCCCCGCCCTCGTTGTTGGTTGGCTGGGGCGGGGGAGGCGCTGTGATTGGTCAAAATTGCAGCATATTCGTCGCCGAGTGTTTGGCTGGTTCTCGTGTCGCGGCGGCGTTGGGGGTGGGAACGCTCATTTTCATTGTCCCTTGAAAAACATCCTCCGAGATGCCGAAGATCAGTCGTCACCGAAACTACCGTAAGACCTACCGCACGCCGTCCCGCGCGTTCGAGAAGGAGCGTCTCGACCAAGAGATGAAGCTCTTGGGCGAGTACGGTCTTCGCTGCAAGCGCGAAATCTGGCGTGTCCAGTACACGTTGGCCAAGCTTCGCAAGGCCGCGCGTCAGCTGTTGACGTTGGACCCGAAGGACCCGAAGCGCTTGTTTGAAGGGCCGGCTCTCATGCGCCGCTTGAAGCGATACGGATTGTTGGCGGAAGACGAGAACGAATTGGATTTTGTCTTGCAAATGAACACGCAAAAGTTGTTGGAGCGCCGCCTGCAAACCAAGGTGTTCAAGCAAGGTCTTGCCAAGAGCATCCACCACGCCCGCACCTTGATTAAGCAACGCCACATCCGTGTCGGCCGTCAATTGGTCGATGTGCCGTCGTTCATGGTCCGCCTCGACTCGGAAAAGCACATTGACTTCTCCGTCACGTCGCCTTACGGACAAGGCCGCCCCGTACGCCGCACAACTCTGTCGTGTCCATATAGCTAATCTCGATGTGTGTTTGTAGGGCCGTGTCGCCCGCAAGCGCGCTGCGCAACGCGCTGCTGCCGCCAACGGTGGTGCCGAAGAAGAGGATGACGAATAAACGCGTCACTCCTGTGGGTTTACGCCAGGACGATGACGAAGTTGCAAGACTGGTTTTTGTAGAGGGCACATGATGAAGCAAAAGACTCGCTACAGCTATTGAATAATACACGGCAGTCCTTTATGTTGGATGCCAGTTCGGGACAAATGTCGACCACAAGCGCGTGGGGGTGCCTTCGAAAGGCCACGATAATCTCGACCTGCATGCTCTACCGACATCGTAGCGTAAATAATCTGGCGTATAGCTTGCCCTTCATGTACGAGGGCGTGAAAAGTCGGATGGTCTCTGTGAGGAAGGGTCCCCGGCACTCCCCGTGACACCGTTTGCTCAATGCGATGGGATTGACGCATGAACCTTGTGGGGAATCGAGTGTTTGAGCGGTGGACACAGACTGCTACGGAACGCGAGATTGAGTGGCGGGAGCGCGGCAGTCTTAACGGCACCTGGCGCAGCATCCAAGGCTACGATTACTTAATGGGGTGGTCGGGGTTGCTCAGGTTATACGCAAGCCAATACCACGTGCCATAGTCGACGTAGACTTCATCGCCCGTGGAAATGATGCGTGTCGCGCGAACGAGTGCGTGCTTGCGGTCGGGTACCTTGTCGAACTTGACGTTGTGCACACCTCGACTTCTGCAATCGTTGACGTATCGTGCTTTCACGTCAAAGCGCTCCCTCGCGTCAATGTAAACTCCACCTCCGAGGCGCATCAAGTACGACTTGTCTGGGACTTTCAATGCATCAGCGGTCGGCAAGACGTGCCCCGTGTACACGCAGACGATATCGCCCTCGTAGAACGTCTTGGTGGCAAACAATCCCAGTCCCGCATTCGGTAGCAAGGACGCTTTCACGACCAAACCGTCGTCGCTTGTCACGGCATGGTAACGTTCCCTGCAGTCCAGCTGATGAAGCAGCGCGTAGTACTCGAGCGCGGTGGCCATCGCGGATGCGGTGCCGCCATCAACATCCGGAATTTTATCCGGAAAACAGCGACATGGCACGGAGGAATCGGAATTGTTTAGTGTTGGCTAGTTCCGTGCTCCTGCAAGAGCTTGACGACCATGGCCTCGCTCTGCGCGGCCGTGAGGCCTTCGGAATTCAGGATCGCGTTCGCGATGAGAATCGTATCTTGGTTCGACTTGGAGTTGAGCCACACGACACCGTTCATGCCGACGGCTAATTCAAACGGGATAGCACGCCCCAGTGCTTCCAGCACAATACAATCATCTTGAATCAAGCTAGAGACAGCCAACCGTCCGCGTGAGGCGCTCGCGACTCCATGGCCTTATGTCGTGAAGGTAGATTCCTACGTTTTTGCCAGGCCGATGGACGTCTTCAGCACGTAGCCGCCCACGAGCTCGCCGTAGATGGCCAAGCCAGTCATCCAATCCTTCTTGGCCAAATGGGAAGGCGCTACACGGGTTCGAGTTGCACGAGATGGAATGGCGGAGACAGTTTGTACCTTCGCAAGTCACGCACGCATCTAGGTCCTTTGTAGCTCGCACGACTCTGCAGTACACCAGTGTGCCTGGCTGCAGGTTGGGACGGTTGCGCTTGCTGGCGCCGTCAAAAGCAAGCATGCCGAGCGTGGCATACGACCTGCATAATTTCTCGGTCAGAGAAATGACACGTCCTTCCGACACCGAGTTGAAAATAACGTACGAGCTGCCAATGTCGACTCGGTAAAACTCCGCATTCCGGTCGACGATCATGCCGACGACACCATCTTCCAATGCAGGCTTGTACTATCGTCAACCAAAGTCATGTGTGATGGTTGCATGCACGGACACGTACGCGCTTGTGGTTGAAGTCGAGCCAGTATCGATTCGGCGGCCGATAGCGTAACACGCCGGCATTGGTGCTTACGACCCGGTTGTCGCAGGTCGCGACGAGACCCGCGCCAAGGCGCAGTTTCTGCGTGACGTTGGTGATGTGCTGGGTAATGTCATCGCCAGGAAGGCATGTACGAGGCTTGAATGCCAGATCGATACTCTTCTCCGCCGCGAGGAGGAACTCTTCGGCCATGGCGCTCGGGTGCGGATGTGGTTGGTGGAGGCATATCCGGAAATGTCCCGGATTATCCGGATGCACTGATTGGGCAGGAGCGCAGCATTTGAAGAAGGACGACGGAGGAAGCGCCGGAGAATGAAGCCAATCTTCGGGAAGATCGTGAGCGACAAGATGCAGAAGAGTGTCCTGGTGGCCGTCACACGCATTGTGAAGGACCCAACGTACGGCAAGTACTACAAGAAGACAAAGAAGTTTATGGCGCATGACGAAGAGAACGCGTGCAACATTGGCGACATGGTTCGCATCAGCCAGACGCGTCCGTTGAGCAAGCGAAAGCGCTGGAATGTCGAAGAGATCCTGAAGAAGGCTGAAATTTAATGCATCCCGATTCATGGTCGTAGGTGTGCGTCACATGTAGTCGCCCAGGCGCACGAATTCAACGTGCCCTTTCATGCACATGACCAGGGGACGATCGACATAGGGATGTAGTGTGTCTGGTTACTTCGCATCTAAAACTCATCGTCGTCGTCGGATTCCAGCTCGTCCAGGGGCGGAAAGTCGCCGACGGCGACGTTCGGGGGCCGAATGAACCCGCCGAATTTTTCAAGGCAGTCGTAATACCGCGTTCCCTTGACGCATCCGTTGCCTTTGCCCACGGGTTCGTCAAAGACAACCCCGACCCAGTGCCCTCCCACCTCGGACGACGCCAACTCGGGCACCACACCAACGTACGCGACTCGGCCTCGTCGTCCGCCAGGCGCTACTTCGCATCGCATGCCGACTTCGATGCCCGCAACCGTCTCCGGCCCATAATCGTTCTTAACCCCACGCAAGCCCGCGCCCATGAGGACGGGTGGTTTCCAGTTCGGATCCTTCGCCAACTGCTCTTTCTTGTAGTTGCGCACCGTGTTCTTCCCTGAAGTCATTTGCATGCTTGAGAATTCGATCGCAACAAGGGAAACAAGTTTGGACTTACGTTTGTCGTAGTCTTCTTCACTGATTTCGTACTTCTTCACCAACGAAACGTCCTCAAGTCCACCGCCTTTTGCAAGCGAGAATGGATCATTGTCTACGACGTGCAGGGTCATGCCGTGCTGGACGGGGTAGTACCCAAGCATGCGTCTTTCATCGTCCAATGTTCCGATGACTGTGGACCCGCTTTTCAAGATGAGGGTCATGTAGTCAGGTTTTGTGCCGCAGTGGCGGTACACTTTCTCCTTGACTTGGGCCAGCGTCATGTGCAAGTCCAGGCGAATGTCCACGATCGTCGCGCGGAGGTTGGAGTGCGTAATGTGCAGACACACCAAGCCGTCCGACACTTCCGCGTACTCATATCCGTCCTTTGCCGTCACGTAGTCGCGCAGCGCCCGCATGTCCTGCGCCATCGTGCGAATGGTCGACTGCACAATTCGACGATTTTCGCGCGCCGGTCATTAAAATAAATTCATCGTGGTCATCATCTTCTTTGTAAGTCCAATAAAATCCATCGTTTTAAATCTTCTCGAATCGAAAGCAGAGCGATTCGCCGGATAGTTATCCGGAAAGATTGAAATGAACCGTGGCGGTTTCGTTTTCTAAATGTGTTCTCGACTGGGATTCATTTGGCGTCGCTCCATCCGCGTCACGAACGCCGCCGCTGCGCGCCGACCACAGCTGCGTGAAAGATCAATCATGCGTAGCAACTTGATCGCTCTCTTGTGGATCACGGCGTCGCTGTGTGCATCCGGCGTCAACGCCGGGAATGTATCAGGATTTTGCAACGACCGCAATGGAACGACCCCCGTCGTGAAAGGAGACCAAACTTACATTTGCATCAACATCAACGACCAATACCGCGCAGTGTTTGCTCCAGTGGTGGATAAATACGTCCAGTTGCGGCTCCATGATTGTATGCATGTTATCGACTCTCTCCCGGTATGAGATGCGACTAAAGTGCTGCCTATGTGTGTAGCGTACATCGACTCTCGCCTTCGTCCGACCAACTCATCCGCGGCTTACATGACCATATCGAGCATGGCGTCTCGATCAGTGTACAAGCAATACACAACGGCCAGAGGAAAGGCATACCCAATTCTGACCGCGGTGGTGTCTGTGAAACAAGGCGAGGTATTTTGCTTGCCTCGACTTTGTTGACCAAAGGACCTAGGTGCAAGGCATATCGTGGGATGACGGGTGCTATCTCTGCGACATGGCTTCGTGCGACCCGAACTTGTACTCAATGCCAACCATTCCACTGTACAGCACAGCGTTTGGTGACGGCAGCACGTGCTACAAGGACCACGCTGAGTGTACCAACACAACTGGTCTGTGCGATCTGTCGGTATGAAGTTACTTCTGCTCCGATGACGCGCCTCATATGTGCGTAGGTGTATGTGGGATGGACAGGCACCGACGCGAACGGGAACTACCTCAGCAGCGCCGGCATGCGCATTTCCCAGTTTCAGAAGTACTCGGTTAATTCGTACATTTCCGACTTCAAGACCAAGCTGTCGTCGCTGCTGCCCCGATTTTAGCCACCCTGCGCTGTGTAATTGCCACGTCATAAGTCACTCGACTTCGTATGCTCGAGTATTTCTTGGGCTCTCGAACTCCCGACAAGGCACAAAGGCCATCCACTCTTGATAAACCTCGTTTGGACATGGCACTAAAGGAAGCGTCATGCAAGATTATGGATGGTGAGTGGTGTCTTGTACGTTGCCAAGACGTGGGAATGAAGGACATACTGTGCCATTCTTGGAACTAGACCAGCGGTTGTGGCTGCATGGGAACGGCTCTGCGATTCCTAGAAGGGCAATGAATCGATTGCAATCGATCCATTGCATCTTACCTGCATCAACTCTCGACGGCATGGTGCAGCAAGCACTTAGACTGCCGCTCACCTATACCAATGATACAGTCGCGAAAGGGTCGGCAAGACGATTGCTTGCATCGTCACCGCTGAGAGCGCCACCACATCGCCACAACATGAGGTGTTGCGCTTCGAGTCTCGCAGCTGGTAAAACGTCGATGACCCATTCCTCCACGCGACCTTTCAGGATAGCTCCACATCCCCGTCCGACTTTTCATAGCGAGACGATCTTCCATGCAAGTCTATCCAGTTGAGAGCTGCAGCCACGCACAGCGTCTTGGCCGACCTTCAACTGGCGGCGACGTGTGCCGCCAAATCTTCGACGGACACATCCTTCGGCTAACCCTACACCTTGTAACTGACCAATCAGAGGTCTGGAATCAGCCATCTCGTCGCTGATTCGTCAACTCGTCGGCTGGCGTTTGTGGTTGTGTGAAACTTAAGTTGGTGGAAGGACTTAAATGAAGGGTAGGCGATCGTGTGCTCCAAGAACATTTATGAATGACTCGGATCTATTTTATTTGACCGAGCGCTGCGACATATTGTAAAAAAGTGACGCGTTGCCTCCCACTAAAGTAGGCGACGTCGCCACCACCGCTCACATGGACAGTCACTTTCATTTTCGAGTCCAAGAACCCACTTGAGCATGACTTTCGTCTCGTCCTTGTGCGCGCCCGCGCCATTGGCCGGCTTCTCCCCTTTGAACAAGGCCCGCCGCGTGCCTCTTGCCACGTCCGCCGCGACCGGCAAGGCCTGGGATGCTCGGTACAGTCACCCTGTGCCTCACGATGCGTCGTATTACGCCAAGTGCATGATTGCCGGCGTGTTGTCGTGCGGTGGTACCCACACTTTGATCACTCCTTTGGATGTGGTCAAGTGCAACATGCAAGTGTCCCCTGGCAAGTACTCGAGCCTTTTGCAAGGTTTGAAGTTGGTTGCTGCTGAAGAAGGTTCGGCCGCCTTGTTCAAGGGATGGGCGCCAACTGCTATCGGGTACTCTGCTCAAGGCTTCTGCAAGTTTGGTTTCTACGAAATCTTCAAGGATTTCTACTCCAACCTTGCTGGGGAAGAAAACGCGTACACGTACCGTGGCGCGATTTACCTTGCTGGTTCGGCGTCTGCGGAATTCATCGCAGATGTCGCGCTCTGCCCCATGGAAATGGTCAAGGTGAAGGTCCAAACGTCGCCTGCCGGTACTTTCCCTACCGCGCTTGGCCCTGCCATGGCTGCCATGAAGGCCAACGCGGCCGAAACCCGTTACCCGTTCGGATCGGTCGTCCCGTTGTGGTCGCGCCAAATCCCGTACACGATGGCCAAGTTTTTCTTTTTCGAAAAGGTCGTGGAAATGTTCTACTCGAACGTGTTCACCAACCCCAAGGAGTCGTACCCCAAGTCGACCCAGCTCGGCATCACGTTTGCCTCTGGTTACATTGCCGGTGTGATTTGCGCTATTGTGTCGCACCCCGCCGATTCGCTCGTGTCCCTCATGGGCAAAGCCGAAAACAAGGGCAAGAGCATGGGCCAAATTGCGAGCGAAACGGGTGCCGTCAACTTGGCGACCAAGGGCCTCGGCACGCGTATCATCATGATCGGGACCCTCACCGGTCTGCAGTGGTGGATCTACGACACGTTCAAGTCGGTCATGGGCATGGGTACGTCGGGCGGTGCTGCCCCCAAGAAGTAAGCGCGCGCGCGCGCGACGACGCATGACGGGGATATTTAGACGACATCGGTTTGATCTAATGTATACACAAACAATCACATTGTCCTCCGCCATCGTCCACGGTCTTGGCGCGCCGATGGGAATGCCAATCTCGTCGTCTGGTCGGCGCCGTCCCAACCAGGACCGCCCTGGAAACGCACGTGGAGGACTCGACCCACGATGCCAGGATGGAAGGGATGCACTACAGGAATGGCAAGTCGGCGCGTAAGAGTCGCATTTGGTCGGTGGGAGACGCTTGGAGAAATGCTCGTCGGCGGCTGGAGTCGAGGCGGAAGGCGTAGATGACGTCGGCGTACGTGTACAAGCGGGGAACGACGAGGGAGACCCAGAGGTCCGTGGAGCAAGTGCAGTCGAGGACCGCCGTCGACGTCAATGGATAGGCATCGAGCGATACCCTCGTGACGTGGATGCGTGTCTCGGCTTGGTGGATGCATTGGACCATGTCGCCTTGCCGAACGCCGAGCATCTTCATGTACACTGCCATTTGAATCACGTCGTGCAATGGAACGGGGTCGCGGAATCGACCCATCCTGGTCGACCTGGTGAGACCAATTTTGCGAGCGAGAGACGGCACCGGTTTTTGACCTCCACGACGATGCGCTCGGTGGTCCACGAATCGTCGGCGTCGTCGATGCGCAAGACATCGGCGACTCCATCCACCATGCCGCACACGGAAAAGTGCTGCCCTGTCCTTGGATGGAGCGACGTTTTGTCGGCGCGCTCGATAAAGTTTTCCAGCGCCTTTGCTTTGTCACACGGACAAGGCGATGGACAAGTCAGCGCTTTTACTTGCCCTGGGTGGGGGAAGTAGAGGAAGTAGAGCTTGTCGTTGGTCGAGTGGATCTCAACGCTACACAACCCACGTCGGGTCAGGTCAAGAGGTCGCTGGAAACGTCGGTCGGACGAAGACGTTGTACCCGTGCTGGTTCTCATATAGCTATGTAGGTGGGAAAATTGAGTCAAAACATGGGGGAAGATGGACCGACGTACCTGAATGGCGAGGGACTCGTTCCGTTTGCCGACGCTTTGCCGCAGCTTGGACGCAAGCGCTTCCTGTAGCTTCTGGCCCTCTTCTTTCGTTAGCTTGTGCTTCTTGCGCGCTTTGTCGACATGGTTCTGGACCTTATGCGACAGACTCATCGCATCGTTCACGTTTGCAGTCGTCCGCGTGTCGGCGGTCCATTTCAACACTGTATTCAATGCAGCGTCGGCGCCGGATTTCCGAATCAAGGCGTCGAGCTCGGCATCTTTCGTGGTAACTTCCATGTGAAGTACACTCGCATCGAGATGCAAGAGGTCGTCCAAGCCCTGGTACAACATCTACAAGAGATCAGCGCGGTAGTTGCGGATCAACATCGAACGCACTTCGAGGAAGTCTTCGACGGGATTCCCGTACTCATGCAGGCCAATAAGAGCCGCTACTTTGGACGCGGGGATACGAAGCTTTGTGTTTTCGACTTGATGGTGCATGCTAATGTACAGCGCATGGAGGGTTTCGTCGTCAAGCTCGTCCATCGCCGTCGCCCGACACGGCGGCGCCAAGTCTGGAACTGAACGATTCGCAGGAACGCGTTTGATTGGGCCAAGCCAAGCCAATCACGTGTCACGATCCATGTATCAATACAAATTCCAATATAAAAAATATTTCCGACCAAAAAAGCATGGAGCAATGGGCCATCAAGACCGTCCGCGTGGTCGCGGCGGCCGTGTGCGTCAAGCTGTATGTGGGCGACGTGCTTTTGGGAATGGGTCCATCGATGCAACCAACCGTGCCTGATGGTGTGATCATCCTTGTGGACAAGCTCTCGTTGCGGTGGAAGCCTCCCACCGTAGGCGACGTCGTCGTGATCTCATCCCCAGTGCGAGCGCAAGGATCCATGTGCAAGCGCATCATTGCCATGGTACGAAAACGAATCCGTGATGAAAGCGCTGCAACGTGACCTAGGAAGGGCAGTTCGTGAAGCGAAGACCTCGCTTTGAAGCTGACGCCGAAGAGATCGTCGAGGTAGCCATCGTACTGCCCACCTTCGCGTGAGATACATCGTCTGTAGGTGCCAAAAGGGCATGTGTGGGTCGAAGGCGACAATGCCACTGCTTCCGTGGACTCGAGACACTACGGACCTGTCCCTGCTGCGCTCATCTGGGGCCGTGCCCGCTACAAGGTATGTTCTCGACGTATTCGCCGTCCCTGCCACACTCCTCGTTGGATTAGTTGTGGCCTCGATCGGAATTCGCCGTTCGAATCGACTAAACGGTTTGTAACATTAACGTCGGCGACTCGACGTGCTCCCACGAGTCGTCTGCTCGCTTCCACCTGCCCACGCACCGGACTTGAAACACTCCACTTGCCATCGCCATGACGTGCACGGCATGGTGCTTCACTGCCGCGTGCGGCTTGAATTCCAGTTGACCCGCTACGATCAATTTGTCGGTACGTTCCAACGCCCTGGTGATGTTGGGTGCTTGCTCGAAGAGCTGGATCTCGATCTCTAACAGTGGAAGCACCGCGATATGATCGGTGGACGTCAGCGTCACGACCACTCGTTCAAACGAATGCAGTGGCAGCGTCGCCAACATAAAGTCGCATGGATGCCCTTCTAGAGCCACATGGACGCTCCATGGCACGACCTTGGCAGGACTGGACGATGCACTGACCAGCGCGACCTTGCCGCTGGACGCCGACGTCGTCCATGTCAACGGCGCATGCAACGCGGCAGCAGGAAGGAGCGCTCGCCGAACGCATTGCGGAGACACGTCGACCACGTTGTCGTCGCCCGACACGTGAAAGCGTGTGGTGGTCGATGGATTCCACAAGTCTGCCACGACCATCGCTCGACCGTCCTGTGAAGCAGGAAGAGCGACAACGGACGAGATGCACACAGCGGGCTCGCACGTGATCGAGAGCGTCGTCGTGGACTCGCGATAGAGTTTCTTGTGCGTGGATGCGTGGCAGTAGACAGCACGAAGCTGCATCTCGATCGTGCATGGACGTCGACAGGACAGACTTACGTCCATCGACACGGACGACCGCGCGGCGATGCCTCGATCGCGCTAGTGTTTTCGTGTGCATATTGGCAAACGATCGAAACAAGGACGCTTACGTGAGTCCAAGCCGGCGACAGCACGATCGCGACATCAGCGCCTGCGACGGACACTTTGTGCGACGAAGGTCGTGGCGCATCGTCGTCGAGTTGGAGGGAGTTTGCGAGAGCGATGCAGCCCGTGGCGGCGCATTTCGTCGACGACTGGACGACGACAGTCATGTCGATAAACACGTGCGTCGCGTCGAGGCCCGTGGAATTGGTTGCGTGCACCGAAAACTGCTTTTGCTCGTTCTCAAACATGGACCACGGCGCTGGCGACGGACCAAAGTCGATTGTGGGCAGCGGCGGCACGATCTCCAACACGACGGGGCGTTCCAGGGCATATCTACAAGGACAACGAAACGATGTCGAACGAGTGATCGAAACACGATGGTCAGAGTACCGCAGTGTCTGGTGCTTGAGGCGCAGGACGCATCCGACGACGACGAGTCGGCCCACTTGAGTGGGCCGGACCGTGATTTGCACGACGGCGCGCCGCTGGCGCGGCGCGAGCTGGAGCGCGGCAGGGACGCACTGCGCGTTCGAGTGGTCGCCAGCGTCGCTTTGAATCCAAGCCGTGACGTGCGGCACGAAGACGCTGATCTCCAATTGATTGTCCACCACAAGGTCCAGTTGAATCGAATCATGGAGAGGGCACGGCGTGTTGTCGGGGGACGCGCTCGGTTTGGCATCTTTTGCTTGAAACGGGTTGTAAATGAACGTCGAGCGCGGTGGCAACGACGCGGCGACGCCGCTGCGCTGCACGATTTCAGTCACGTGGTCCAGCCGTCGAAGGCGGGACGTTGTCTGTGTCGACAACCCAAACCGGTGGATGTGCAAGACACCATTGTTCTTGGCCAGGGGCAGTTGAATCGTCCAAGTGGACGCGACTCCAGACGCTGACGGACGTGATGCGGCCGACTCGTCATGGAGCAAGCGCCAACAGGCATGTTGCCATTGCGTGATGTGGTTCCGTGCGTGCAAATTGACTGAATCATGGCGCCGAATCGCCGATGACGACGTGGCAACGGAACCGTTGTCGGTCGACAAACGGCGCGCGGCGGTGGAAGGCGATGGCGCCGGTGGATCGGCGCCGTCCATAGCATCGTCAGAAGCGTCAAAGAAGGACGAGGTCGAGCTTGCCGACGGCGTTCCGGACATCACAGCCGACATCAACTGCCGAGGCGTGGACAGGACGAGGCGGGGAGTCGTGCTTCCTGATGCTGCCGACGGCATCGTCCCATGATTCGAGGACGCGAGCAGGGGCAAGTTCTTAAAGTAACTCGACGACAGCAGCGACATGGTGGACGTGTGATGCTGGAATAACATCGCGGCAGCTTTTTTCATCTCCTTCTCCATGCTGACCGGGGGCGCTGCGTACACGGTGGGCGCAGCATGTAGTTGCCCGCGACTCTTGAGCCCCGCCACGTCGACTGGATCGTGGATGGTCGTGAAAACATGGTCGTTCCACAAAATGCTGCCGCCGATGGCGTCGGCAGATTCGATGGCGATGGGACTGTGAGCTAAGAGATTTAGCAGATCCAGCGCATGCCTCGCGACAGCCTCTGGCCGACGCAGCTTCCTCGCGACGACAATCAGCTGCCGCAGCACGTAAAAGCGCAATCGTCTCCACCCGCCAGACCGTTCGACGTCGGGATTTCGCGTGGTGTGGCCAGTTTGGGTCGTGGTCAGGCCATGAAGCACTTGTTGAAGCAGGGCGTATGCGGCGAGCAACGTCATTTCACGTGGACCGGACGGTGCCGCAAGAAGCGAAGCAGACGCTGGTCGGCTGCCACTCTGGCACAGCAGTGCACTGGCGTGTAAAGCGTACAAGAGTTCCTTGCGCGTGTATCCGATCCGTCGACTTTGTCGCGCGAGCTCGAGTACTTGCTTGATCAAGAGCTGCGATGGCACCGTGGGGCCGGTTCTGTTGTCGACTGGTCGCGGAATTGACAGCAATCGATCGTGTGATTCGATGCACAACCGCCGGATCCACTCGGCTTCGTCTGCGCCTACGCACAGAGATAGAATCGCCGCAGAGTCAGGTTTCGCTTCCAGCGGCGTCGACGAAGCGTACGTTGAGGGCGGTCCGACCGGCGACGATTCGGCATGAGGAGTGGTGGATCGTCCACGAGCTCAGCATAATACCAGCCCATGGACGCGACGAGCATCGCTTCGAGATCGACGCAGCCGACCTTGGCGTACCATGCCGCCGCTTCAGATGCCTTCTCGATCAATTCCACGTTGAACTGGACTCCATTTCCGCCTACAACACGAGCCATCACACGCTTTATGTTTCATGGACCCGTCAACGCACCTTTTTGCCTTTGCATGGTCAAGTACAGCGCCGTAATGTACCCTTCCAACGCCGCGGCCAGCCACAAGCCATCGCCATTTGTGGTGTGGACGCGTGCTGCATTTGACGCTCGCTTCTCCTCGTCTCGTAGGCCATCGATCGCGGTGGCGTAGAACTCCATGGCGTCAGCGACACACCCGACGAGGAGAGCATAGTCGGCAACCAGTTTTTCCTGACGATATCGAGCAGACGATCGGCCGACTTTGCGGCTGGATGCGCCATGCAGACTGGTTCCACCACCACTCAAGTCCATGGCCGACGCAGCATTGCTCACGCCTAGCCAAACCAGTCCACGTACAAGTCAGGGATGCCTCATGCAGGGAGACCACCGTCCTGGAACGAGTGGCCTCGATCGATGGCGGACTCTTCGGACCTGATGGCCGTGGAATCAACGTCGAATTTCCTGAACCAGTGCGCAAAGGTGTTGTCGACGACCCGGTCGTTGTTGTGCCGAGAAATGCTGGCGGGACAGACGACGCCAGGGTGAACGAAGGAGGGTCGATGTGCGTGTTCAGGAGACCAAATACAGATTCAGACAGATCTGTCGACGCAGCTTGCTGCTGCTGGTGTTGCCGCAAAACGCCGCGGACGGTGCTTTCCAACGACATCAGGATGGTGACCGTCATGGCATCCAAGACGACTTGCAAGTGTAAACTAACCTATCGCGCATTCGTTCAGGTCAACCCTTGACGCAAGAAAGGCGTGCGTACGGTGGTGTGGCCATCGGTGAGCGGCGCTGCCAGTGGAAACATGACCAGGTCGTCCAACGCAGACACGTCGTCGAGCGTTCCGTCTCCGAAAGCATGCTCGAAAGCGTATACCTTTTGAAGGATGGCACTGGGGTAGTTTGCTGCGACTCGTTTGAAATCGGTGTATGCGTCTCGAAGATTCGCGGTGCTTGGACAATGACACAGCCCAAGGATAGCGAGCGGGCGATTCCACGCATGCACGTCTTCACAGGGGACTGGTGTCGAGACCGATGATGCGTTCGATGTCGTATCCTCGAAGCGATACACAAACGATGTTGAACTATCCCATGACAACGAACGGAAAGGCGAGAGCTCCGAGCTGTACCCACCTGGTCGGGTCAGGCTGCTCATGGGGATATCCGACGACGCCTGCAGCATCTTGACGCCTTCCATGTACATGCGAGGCGACATGTTGCCAACCGGCATGACATAGACCAGGATCTGGCTGTTCTTTGAGAACCCATGGCTCGTCGCCGCCATCGGAGGAATCGTCGCCGCCACCGTGGTGGACACTTCCGACCGATTTCAAACCCCGATGATCCTTGATCCAACTTTGTCGTACGGATAAACATCTTGTATCCGGGTGTTGTGTCGCACCAAGATGGCGTTGAAGGACGGAATGCTGCGAGCCGTGCTGGAAGCAGAGGACGCCAGTACTTCCAACGAGGACGTGGTGTATAAGCAGTATATCCTGGAAGCACGGCGAGATCGTGAACGAGCTCAAGCGATTGCCAGAGCAGAACATCTGACAAGGAGTGTCGAGGGCGCGTTTGAGAGATCGGTTGCGGAATCGACGGCGCAATACGAGCGCGAGTGTGCGCAGTTGAAACAGTCCATGGTGGACGACATTCTGGCGGAGCTGAAACTACTCCGAGACAACCGCGACGGTGTGAGTTTGGTGCGAAAGGGAATGGCACGATCTGCGCGGTCCAGCCGTGCAAATGTGTCGTACACCGACGGCGCAGATGGCCCAGCCTCGTCATCTCCTAACTCCGCCACCGAACAGACACCGACGGCGTTCACTTCATCCACCGCGCAGATTCCATTGTCATCCACGAAGCAAAAGCTTGTCGCCAAGTCCCTTCGCTCGAACTCCGCCTCCATTCCAGGCATTGTTGCGCCGGTCCCGGACGCCGTCGCACAAGATGACGCCCACGAAATCCTCGGCATTGTTGCGTCCTTCAAACAAAAGCTCTCGAGAACAAGTGGTGACGACAGCAGCGGCACCCTCCCATGCGTATGCTGATAATGCATCCCATTCCATTTGTTGTCCGAAGTATATCACACCAGCCACATCTTCTCCAGCGTCGAGGAAGCCCTCGACTCTAAGAGAGCCATGACCACTAGCAGCCCCTTGGAAGGTTCTATCGCTTTGACCATGGCGGCCCCGGAGCCTACCAGACCGTACACGACAAGGGCCTTGCCAAGTCCAGCTTTGGCCAAGGCTTTCTGCCTGCCACCGTGTTGGCGAAGTCCTTATTTTCGTTCGTTTACACGAGTGTACAGACTGTGGTGCTTGCGTCGGGTGCGACGGTCATTTTCGATCTGTCGCACCACGTTTAGCACCGTCTGCATCCTGTCCAACTACCTCGTCTACCTGGAAACGAACGTCGATCAAGACCGACGGGCTTTGCGGATATGGCGCGAACGTCCGCTTCGTCTGCCAGTCGGTTCTACGATTCGGAGTGCGTTGTCTTTGGCCTCACTGGCGTTCCTTTTGTGGCTAACAGCCCTCAACGCGCGTGACAAGGACAAGAAGTATGGGCTCCTAAACACTTTGATCCACCATCCAAGGATGAAAGCTTCCTACGATTGCCCCAGTGAATACGTACGCAAGCGTGCCGCCACGATCCATTCCGTGGGGGAGCTTTTCCTGGAGTAGCTGGGGACAAGCTCCTCACCAAGTGCAAGTTTAGTCGACGAACGAAGGCGGCGCCGGTGATTTCCCCCCAAAAATGACGTGGAAGGGATGGTGGGTGCCGTCGCCCTGGCCGTCGCGGTGTCCTGCGTCGCCAACGCATGTTTTACGAAACACTTAAAAGTGCGGTGCCAATGGCGAGTACATCCACTCCCAGTTAGGGTCGGGTATCGGCAATGGCAGCTCGCCGTGTTTTTGCTTGTCCGTGCATGTTTCTCTCGGTAATTCGGTGATGGCACGGGCACGTGGACTGAGTGAGATGCAAACAGATACGACCGCTTGTTCGTGAGCTTGTTGAAATGTATGGCGGGGGTTAAAGACACTGGACGGCTGGTCCTGGGTTACGGGGGTGTTGTATTTGGTCGTCTGCGACTCCAAGGGCGGACTGAATATCCTTCGCTTCGTAGGCATACTCGATTGCGTGGATGGCCTCACAGGCAAACTGGGCCATGTTTTCATTGCGCAATGATCCCATGATTCTACGAGTTGGACTAAAACCGCCAGCGACATGGTATTCCTCTCCAACATAGACCAGCTATGGCTCCTGGACTCCATCCGAGTCTATCGGAATTCCGTCCACGTCTAGCCGCGGGCACCGCGCCAACTAGGGACGATGTCGAATATGTCCAATCAGGTGATGCGACGACGACACGATGTTGTACGACGTTATACATATGATGTCATGGCATCAATATTATAAATATATCCATAATATCATGGAATTCATTCGATAGATTGTTGTTTCATATATTTCGCGTTGGAACCTGTGGCTTTGGAAAAGTATATTGTTCCCATCGATTTATACTGGATAATATTAATACATGACATGTATTCCATCTTCCCACTTGTTGCAACAGGTCAAGCGGGGAAGGAAATTTGCAAGGAATGGACGACGGCCGCGCGTCCCCACCGGCGGAATCGTCGCAGTTCATCCTTCCGTACACGCATAACCCGTTCGTGTTTCCGTACAAGCCACCGAACGACGTCGGTAAGGAAGCTCCAACCTTCTTTCCCATGTACCCTGGGGAAACATGCGTGTCCAAGGTGATTTTGTCGAGTGTGATCGGTACGTGATGCCATCGCTTTCTCGAGGTATCGCCTACGTTTGCCATGTACGTCTAGGCTACACACTTGGAGTGGCAATGGGCGGATTGCTGAGCTCGTACGAAGCCATTGCGCCACCGATTCCCGTTCCTGGTCAGCGTGTGATGCCAAAAGTGCCGTTCCGTGAATCCGTACGTCGTTATCATCCCAGCGTCCATCTCATCGCTCGATTTGTCGTCGCATGTGTAGTTGCAAGCGTCGCGACGGTTGATTTCAGAGAAGAGTTTTTCATGGGGTCGAAATTTCCTCATCTTTTCAGGTGTGGACTCCGTTCAACTCGTCGTCGTCATTGCACTTACTTAGCCATGACGTCGGGGCTGGAATGTCTTGTCAGCAAAGGCCGCGGCCGACATGACACCACCAGCGTCGCACTCGCTGGTTGTGCTACCGGCGCGACTCTGGCCATGGGACAAGGCCCCATGATGCAGTGCGGCTCATGTGTTCTCCTCGCCGCATTTTCAGCTGGTATGGAGCAGTTCATGCACAACGATTAGCCTTTGCTCCGTACTACCAACGATACACAATTATGTACCCATTCGCCACCACAGAGCTCCAGCAGTGCTGCTGACCTTGCAGCCCTTTCGAGTTCTTTTGTTGTCATCTCTATCAATTGACGCTGGAGTTTCATTATCCCAATACATACACCTCCATCAGTCTTCAGTCGTTTTACTTGTGCTTGCGAAAGTGTTCGTTGATCCATTCGGACGTGACGGACTTGGGGCGTTCCAAAGGCAAGCCGAGGGCGCGGTCCCAGAACAATTGCGACAACACACCCATCGCGCGCGACACACCAAAGAGCACCGTGTAGTAGTTCTTTTGGGTGAGGCCGTAGTGGTACAAGAGCACGCCGCTGTGCGAGTCGACGTTGGGGTACGGGTTCTTCGTCTTGCCGTGTTCGGTCAAAATGCCGGGCATGACTTGGTAGATGGTTTCCACGATTTGGAACAATTCGTCGTTGGGCATGTGCTTCAACGCAAACTCGCGCTGGCAAGAGTATCGCGGGTCCGTCTTGCGGAGCACGGCGTGGCCATACCCGGGGATGACCTTGCCGGCCTTGAGAGTGTCCCACGCAAACTTGGTGATCGTTTCCTTGTTCACGGGCAAGTTCTTCGACTTGAATTCGTCATGGAGGTCCATGATCCAGCCAAGCACTTCTTGGTTCGCAAGACCGTGCAAAGGACCGGCCAATGCGTTCAAACCAGCGGCGACCGAGAGGTACGGGTCTGAGAGGGTGGAGCCGACCAAGTGCGTGGTGTGGGCACTGGCGTTACCACCTTCGTGGTCGCTGTGAATGACCAAGTACAAGCGCATCAACTCGTCAAAATCTTGGCTGTCGTAGCCCAACATGCGCGCGAAGTTGGCGGAGTAATCCAACGACGAATCGTACTTGATGTCCAAGCATTCGTCAAAGTACGTGCTGCGGTAAATGGTAGCGGCAACTTCGGGGATGCGAGCAATCAAGTTGAGCATGTCTTCGTAGGTGTGTTCCCAGTACGTGGACTTGTGGATGCCTTCAGCGTACTTCTTCTGGAAGACGCTTTCCGTGTTCATGGCCATGACAGCGATAGAAAATTGCGTCATGGGGTGGGTGCCCTTGGGCAAGTCGCACAACATTTGCTTGACGTGGGCAGGGATCTTGGAGCGGGCGTGCAACTCCTTGGTCAAGCTGTCAACTTGTTCGCGAGTGGGGATGTCACCGGTCAAGAGCAACCAGATGAGACCTTCGGGCATAGGTTCACCGCCTTCAATGTACGTGGGCAACTTCTTTTGCAAGTCCGGGATGGTGTGGCCGCGGAAACGGATGCCTTCTTCCGAGTCCAACAACGACGTTTCCCACAGCATGCACTTGACATCGCGAGCACCACCGATGCATTGGTCAACCGTGACATTGCCCAACGACTTGTTGCCGTGTTCGGCCTTCAACTTTTTCAAAGCTTCTTGACGGCGGGGAATCTGCTCCTTCAACACATCGTACAACGACGTGGAAGAGGACGAAAACAACGCTTTGGACGTGACTGACGGGGCCACTTTCGAGCTGACGACGCGACGAAGGGAGGATGCGAACATGATGTCTACGTTTGATAGACCATTTATGAGTGCCATGGATGAAATTCGTGGCCGCCGTCAACGGACGGGGCGGCAGCGCATACCTTGCGAAGCTTTCTTCTCCACGAACCGGAAAATCCAAAAGTGTGGTGGGTGGCGAAGGAAAAAACCAGGGGTGGGGAAACTACCCTCGAGAAATACCAAGCAAAAAACATTTTTGTGAAAATCTGTTGTCGAGTTCTGTTTTATACACCACACGAGTATACAAAACGATTGATAATAAATTAGAGTGTCGTATGTGCACCAACTGATGAGAAAAGAAAATGTCGCAACTCCACATCTGTATATTGATCCTCATCAAAATCCCACGCCAGCACCGCGTCACACCAAGTGCCCGTGCCTTGGGATGTCGACTGCCCTCTCAATCAAGTTGGCAGTGTGCGGCTACACGAATAGAGTGATATCAACATGCAGGACCTCCTCATTATGTGAGGCATGCAGCGTGATAGATGGCACGCGGACAAATCGTCTCCGTGCGAACTCCACCGTGAATGTCAGGAGTTAGTTATACAACCCGTCCAAACCACCTTCAACACGTCACAAATCTCGCCGGTGATGTCACTAAAATCGCGCCGGGGTAGGGTTCCGGATAATCAACCCTAAACCGGATGCCGGTCACGTGAAAGGACCTCGCACACTGAATACATTCGATAAAACCTGTGAAAAGAAATAGCGCCAAGGACAATCCGTATTATCCAAGTTTTAGTGGAATATCCGGATGGTTTAAAGGTAAAAGGGTAAAAAAACCTACCTCATCCTCAACCGAGGGATATCTTGCCATTCGACGGAACTGGACCGCCTCTGATGAAGCTATGCGGCGTGCCGACGCTGCCCGTCAGTGTGGTGATGGTGACGATGCTGGGACTGCTTGAAACAAGTCGTGGTGTGAATGCAGGAGCTGTCACGAGTGGCGCGCCGCAAAACCCAGTGGTACCCGGCGGCGAATGCGTGCGAATGTTTCACTCGAAGGGCAACGTTGGATGCTTTAGTTTGGACAAAGACGGATCCCGTGCACGCCTCGTGAGTGTGTCAACAGCAAGTGCGCTCAACCGCGACACATTGAAGGAGAACAGCATTGTGCTCTTACCGGATTCGCTGTTCACGTCCGAGAACGTGGCCAAGCTGAACGGCGAGTTTATCAAGGGATTGCTCGTCTACCCCACTCCCACGTCGCCCTTTAATTACGACTCAACGCACCCACAGGGAAAAGGCACGGTGGACGGCGTGCTGAACCCCGTATTTGGTGACTACGAGTGGAATCCGTTGGGGCGCGACATCATGTCGTCTAGTTTGCCATACCCCGTTCTCGAAGTCGAGAGCGAGGCAAAGGCGAAGGAGTTCCTCGATCTCGCGCGTAAGAACGAACACGCCCCCGCGGAAGCGACATTCGGCGTCGTGTACCGCGGTGCAATGGACTACTACTTTGGTCCTGCGAAGATGGACTCGATCACTTGCTTGAACTTCCGCAACATCTACGGTGACCGCAGCCCCAAGTGTCTTCCCGTCGGCGGTCAAAGTGCGTGGGGCGTCAAGGGCGACCTCAGTTCACCCAGACCTGCGATTGTCGCGATGGCGTCGATGGACACAACGTCGTTTTCGCACGTATACGCCCCTGGCGCAAACGCCGGCGCGTCGGGACTGGTGGCGCTGCTGGCCGCGGCGGACGCCCTCAAGACGATTCCGAGCTCTGCGTTGAAGAAGAACATTGTGTTTTCAGCATTTCAAGGTGAAAGCTACGGGTTTGTCGGTTCCCGGCGGTTCCTCGCCGATCTGAAGCAGGCCAAAGCGTCCCCTCACGGCGTGTGCGCGTCCCCGATCACGACACCAACGCCGTTCGGATCGTCGCACTGCGCGAGTCCGGTGCGGTCGAGCCTCGCGTTCACCAGTCTGTCGCTCGACTCGATCGATCTTGCCGTCCACGTGGACCAAGTTGCGCAGGGCAATGCTTGGTTTGTGCATCCCAACCCGAACGCGGCGTCCAAGGCCGTCATGGACGCCCTCACGAACGCGCCTTCCGCCAAGAGTCGCGTGCAAGTGTCGACTGCGACGGCAGCGCTACCTCCTGGTCCGCTCGTGTCGTTCTTGAACGATCAAGAGTTTGGAAACGCATCGCTTGCGTCGGCCGTGCTCTCGGGGTACGACACAGCGTTCTCGTCCACGTACCACAGCCGGCGCGACACCAACACGTCCAACGCGGACGCTGCCGAGAACATTGCGACAGCGGCGCAAGTGCTGGCCGAAGCTCTGTTTGCGTCGTCGGCCGCCGTCGCGGGCTCCGAGCTCCTCGCGTCGATCCAAGTGAACGCGACCCTCGTCCGTGCGTTATGGACGTGCATCACGACCCAGTGGAACTGCCCCCTCATGCAAGCCATGTCGAAACCCGCCGTCGCGTCCATGAACGAGTACCTGGCATTCACCGCGACGTCGTCGCCGTCGTTTGTCGAGCCTGTGAGGTTGTACACAAGCGTCTACTCGGACAATCGCATGCCGACCGTGGTCGTGAACAAGTCGTACGTGGTCGCTGACCTCCGCGACATGAAATGGGACAACGCGTTCAAGCTGCATTTGTACCCGAATGCGTACGAAACATTCACGCGGGCGTTTTTGGCGTCTGCTTTGCGCGATGTGGACCCGCACGCGCCGGCGTGCGCGTCCAACAAGGACTGCAACATGGATGGCGGCGACGAGTGCGTATATCCTGGCGTGTGCAGTCGGCGCCGGGCGTATTTTCACGATGCGTTGTCGCCCGGCCTCAAGCGCGAACCCACCGTCGGCCACTACACGGTCGTGAACGCGTCGATGCCGCTGTGGACCGAGCCCAACTGGATGACGCTCGGGACGTTTGTGTACCCCGATCCAGGCACGACGATTGGGTACGTGGCGCTTGGCACGGGCGCTGTCTCGATCGTCGTCGGGTACGTCGTCGCCCGGCGCTTCGTGGCGCATTTTCGTAAACAGAAGCTGCTGTAAGGGCAAATCCAACCTTGGGTGCTGTCGTCATGCGCATTCGGACTGTGCCCGTCCCATGTCTTGTGCGAGCGGGACGTGTAGCATTCTGTGCAAGTCGACAGCAAGAGCCATGCAACACCAGCCAGGCGTGTGTTGTAGAGACGACTTTGGCCCGGCGCGCACGGACGGCATCGAGGGGACAGGCTCGCGCGCTTGGAGAGTCGGCAATTGTTGGCTTGGCGAACGTAAACGCAGGTGCATGGCGATCCGTGCGGGCGGCGCTGCATGTGGTGGTGGCGCCAGTGTCAGCGTCCTCGTTACCGTCGCTGCGTGGTGCTGCTCTCCACACCATCCACTCCGTCTGCTTTGTTTGGCCGGGATACGGGGGAAGGTGCTTGCGTCGTTGCGGCGGCGGACAATACCGCGACAGGGTCGTCGCGACGAGAGCTGACGTGGCACTGCCGCCAGCATCCATCGCGATGGGGACAATCCAAGCGATTGCTCCAGGGATGCTGTCGGACGCCGCCCATCCTTCAAACGCAACGCAGCTGAACGCGCGAGGAGCGGCACGAAAAAGACGAGCGAGAGGGCGGCGGCGTCCGTGTAGTAGTAGAGCGACGACGCCACAAGAGGGAATGGTGCGTCCGTTTTTTGCTTCGCTGGAGGGTGCGGTGGTGCAGGGCCCGCGACCAAGGTCGTGCCAGCAGCACTGGCAACCATTGGCATCTTCAACGGTATATCGACATGTCATTCCAGTGGAGAGCGGCTGAAATGGCCGCGACGACCGCGGTGTGGTGGTTGGCATAGCGTCGATGTATTTCTGTGGTCGAAAAAGCAAGGAATCGGTGGAGATTGTTGGTGGGAAAGGTCGATGCGACGGCGACGGAGGGCTCGGCACTCGAAACTCGGGCAGCACGTCAGTCTCGACGGAGTGTCGGGCCGCGATCGGCGGCGTGCTGCTGACGACGGGTGCGTCGAGAATTCGACATGGTCGATGGAGAGGTGAATGCGCAACCGATTGTTCGATTGGTGCATCAGGAGGCGGCGGCCATCGACCGGGGAATCGCACGACATCGTGCTGCTGGGCCCGGAATGCACCTTCGACCGAGATAGGACGGGGTATTCCTGGTCTGTGCAGCCAGGAGATCGAGACGTGCACCACCCCTCCCTCGGCGACACGTATACGTCTCGTCCAAGCCACGAAGCTTCGACTGTAGTGCTGTCCACATGACTGCGCGAATGTCCATGGCATGGTTGCCGCCCGCTGAGAGCGGCGGGTCCATTTACGTGTCCCGAGCCCATGCATCGACTACTACCACCCACGACATGTACGCGGGTGTTCGTGTTCTTGGCGAGATATTCGTTATGGCATTCTACTTATCGGTCGATGTCTTCGTTCACGACGACGGCGGCGGCCGCCCCTGTAGGCGGCGTCTCTGCCGAGCATCCATCGGTCGGCTGCGCGTTGTCGCCTTGGGCGCTTCCTCGCAGGGGGTAGATCGGTATGATCTCGGCCGACCCCCAGCAGCACACGTCGCCTTCGCACGCCATGAATGCAAACGCGACCATCCCAACGAAAATGACAAACATCACCATGTCCGTGTAAAAGAAGATCATGCCTTGCATGTACTCGTCCGGGCTCAGGCGCTGGTTCATGCACGACGCGTCGTACGCAAACCAGAACGACAAGATCAAGATCGTGGCGCAGCACAGGAGAAACGTCGTGGCGCTGAACAGCGTGTCGAGCGCGGCGAAATACACAATGCACGCGATGCCAAACGCGACGGCGAACGCAACCACGGCACTTGGCATGTACCCGACGAGGGTGTCCCCCGACCCCGGTTTCCGCAGCGTGCAAAGCACCCCGAGCAGCGTGATTACGACGAATGTGAGAGCAAAGACAAACAGGCTGACGTCGATGCCCAGGAACGCGTCGATTCCGACGAGGAACATCGACATGCACACGGTGTACATGCCGAGCACGACAAAGTTGACGGGGTAGTGGTACTTTTTCACGTACAGCGCAAAGAGGAGGGCAATCGTGGCAGCAAAGATGCCCAAGAGGCTCCAAAAGTCTGCAAACGGCGCCTTGACCGCGGGAATGTTGGAGAAGACCGCAATCAAACCGACGACGACGAGGAGCTGCAGCGAGAACAGCTGAAACAGCTTGCGGCGGAACCCGATTTGGATCTCGATCGGCATGTTGTCCACGATGAACGGGTCGTCGACTGGGTTGATGCCGTTCTGAAAGATCGAGAGCCCGATCATAGTGTTTGTGCTCAGGTGCGCGTGCTCGTACTGCGTTTTGATCCGCTCGAAAAACTTGTGGTCGAACCGAGTCTCGCCCTTGGCGACTTTTTGCATCTCGAGATGCTGGAGGAAGATGGTGCCGCGGCGGTAGTGGCTGCGGGGCTTGACGATCGTGTCATGCTTCTTGCCTTTGATGTGCCCCCACAGATTCTGAATCGTCTTGCGGCGCGTGTTACTCGCTATCGCCATGAGGTCCTCGGCGATGGCTGGGTCGGGCGTCGACATGGACTGTTGGGATTGCCGAGCGACGGAACCCCCGCTGTCGGTGGAAGCCCCCGTTGCAGGCGTTGCCGGGAGAACTTCCGACACTTGATCGTCGTGTTCGTCGACTCCGTCGGGTTCCATCATGGTGATGTAATTGGATTGGCGTGCGGATGAAGTAGGTCTCACTCACACCCCGGTCCGTCAAATCGTGTTGAGCTTGTTGTGTGTCCCTCCGTCAGTCCAGTTCTTACCGCGCTCTGCCCTCGTGCGCGATGAACAACTTCGAGACGAAATGTCCCTGGCGAGGGTAAATTTAGCCGGCTTGCCCCATTCCTGGGGTCGAAGTGTATTTTTAGGGCGGCTGAGGTGGTTCCTTCCATACCTTGTGGCATTAACGTGCGGTGGCACCCATCTTGTCGGATGTGCCAGCTGTAGGTGGAATGCACTGGCGGCTGCTGCCGCCTGCAAGCATGGAGCCCAGCGGGCCTTTTTTCCCTGTTTGGAAATTCGGCGAAGGAATCCGGATAACAATTGGACGAAGCGTCGCGATTTCCGGAAGATTAGGATCCCCGGATAACGATGTGGATCTCTTGAATGTTTATCCGGACGAATCATCAATCCCCAGAACAACTCACGCCGCCGCCTGCACCGTCTCGGCGCCGTTGTCCTGCTACGTCGACCCGAGCGCGCATATTCATCGTGCAAGGGTTCACCCAACGATCCACCATCATACGCACCGAGCTAGGCACTCGAAGCAGCAGGACACAATTCCTCGGGACAGCACAAACGATTGCTACGGTGTACCATGGACAAGTATATGGAAGAGCGTTGTATTGGGCGCGGTAGCTACGGCTGCGCTTACCTTGCCACGGAAGTCAAGACGGGCAAGCAGTACGTGGTGAAGAAGATTCCGATTGAACTCATGACGGACAAGGAGAAGAAACAGGCGTTTGCTGAAGTCGAGCTCTTGTCCAGGTTGGACAACGAGTACGTCGTGCAGTACAAAGAGAATTTTGTCGAAGGCACGGTATTGCATCTCGTGATGGAGTACTGCGACGGTGGGGACTTGACCGCCCGCATCAAGGAAATGAAGGACTCGAACGGCGGGTACTTTCCACCCGACGTCGTCTTGACGTGGTTCGTGCAAATGGCAGTCGCGATCAAATACCTCCACGAGCGTCATATTCTTCATCGCGACCTGAAGACGAGCAACATCTTCCTGACACGTCGAAACATTGTGAAACTTGGGGACTTTGGGATCGCCCGGACACTCGAATCGACGATGGACCACGCAAAGACCGTGGTCGGGACGCCGTACTACATGAGTCCGGAGGTCTGCGAGAGCAAGCCTTACTCGTACGCGTCGGACGTGTGGGCTCTCGGTTGCGTTCTCTACGAAGTGTGCGCGTTGAAGCACGCATTCGACGCCCCCAACATACTCATGCTCATCGTGAAGATCATCCAGCACGAGGTAAGTGGTTCTTCCCGTGTTTGCATTCTTCTGACCAAGGGCGATAGTTTCCACCGTTGCCGCCGTGCTACCCCGCCGAGTTTACGTCCCTCCTCCAAGCGCTGCTGAATAAGGACCCCGAGAAGCGCCCGTCGATCGATGCCATTCTGCGAATGCCCATGCTTCAAGACAGCTTGCGCGGTATGTCTTGTTCAAAAATCGCCGCTGCGTCATGACGATTCCAATCAAGTGTGTGTGTGTGTGTGTGTGTGGATGCTTGTCTCATTCGAGTTGCTGTAGCAATGCAAATGAGTGCGATGGGCACCCCAGATATGCAAGCGGCCGACTCTGTGGACGAGACCGATCTATGCGATGGCACGCGTAGCAACATCAAGAATGGTGGCCAATGGACCGACCTGGTTCCCATCGACGGCACAGTCGCGTTCGACTATTTGTCGTCGAGTTTTCAACAAGACCAAGTTGCGACGGGAATTCGACCGCCCACGCTAGTCCAGACGAGCCCCAAGATGATGGCGGGTGTGGCAGGGAAGGCTCGAGGAGGAGGAGACCGCATGTGTTGGGTGGAAAGCGCTGGCTCTGATGAGGTCGACGAAGTCCTGGAAGGGCCGATTTCGCCCACGCCGTGCGATGACGAGTTGATCAAACCCAACTACGAGACGGCGTACTCGGAAGAGTGCTTTGACAGTATCCACATAGACTATGGTACTGGAACATGCCCCCAGATCACTGGAATTCAATAGAACCAAACGTGGATAGGTCGCAAAGTCCGAGGTGGCCGGCGGAAGGCGCTGACTCTGGATCAGCACATGCCTTTGCCACCATCCGGCAAACCCAGTACCCGCCATGGCACACCCCAAACGCATCCAAAGCACCACCCACCAGGGCGTGTGCATGTGGCTGGCAAACCTCGTCTCCAAGTGGACGAGAGATCGGCGAGTCGTTCGAGTTTCCAACTCCCCCCGCGCCATCCCGAGTCCATACGTCCACTCGTTCCAGTCAAGGTGGTCGTGAAGCCCAAATCGTTCGTCTACCCTTTGTCGAGGCGAAAGTCGCCTGGTGTGGCCATCTCGTTGTCGTCGCTGTCTCCGTCGTCATCGATCGGAGAGGAAGACGACATCGGTCGCGAAGTCATCGAGTCGGCCGATGACATGGATGGTGGTCCGTACACGTCGATGAGCGAGTGCGACGCAGAGGAGAACTTTTACAGCGACGACTCGGACTTTGACAACGAAGATTTGACGTTGGACACATCCGGGGAAGTGGACTTGGGAGTTGCTGGCGGCGTCGTTTTGAGTCCAACCGCGCTCCCCACACGTGGGCAGTCACCGCCCTTTGTCGAGCACGGCTACAGCGATGATTTCGACGACACTGAAGCCGAAGTGATCGAGTACGACAACGACGATGACTTTGCGACCCATAATGGCAGCAGCAGCAGCAGCAGCAGTGACGACGGGGATGACGAAGGTGGGGACGACGCACGCACAGGTGCTGTTTGTGGGAACGAACGAAGGGGTCTTGTCGAAAGCTATAGCTACGATGATGACGATGACTTTCTCCAACCCGCGACCCCATCCAAACCACCCACGGCACATCCATCGTTGACCGGCGACCTGCCATTGCCGCCGATGGCATCCGTTGTTGCAGTTGGCCACCGCTAGCGTGCCCGCTAGCTTGAGTGAATAGTATTTGTTCGTACTGTGCGCTGTCCGTGTTTGGATAGAGCCATGAAAGCCCTGGACGCCCTGCAAAGGGGAGGCGAAGAAGGTATTGAAGGGAATGGGTAGCACAGTCGATCACACAAAGTCGAAATACGATTGCCGTGCTCCCGTTCGGGTAATGCTAGCCAAGCCGCGAGTCGTCGCCGCAGGCGAAGGGGGTGGCCTCTTCCATGAACTAAATCGGCCTAGATGTGGTACGTGGGAAATTCCAGTTCGTGAAGGTCAACTTGCCCACAGTGGTTGCTCTGCATGCGATGATGAAGAGCCGAAACGTGGCGCCAGAGCATGCAGTTGGGAATGGATCAAGTACAATGGAATTGAATGGGGGAGCACGACCTGGAGTGGCCGAAACGAGTTGCTCTAGTGCAGATGCGCCAGAAGAACTGCGTTGATTTCACAGCTTGGCTGTGCGAACAACCTACTCGCTCCAAATATATAAGGGGACGAAGACGCTGACTTAGTCGGTTCTCCGCTTCTTGGCGTGTGGAATGTCCTCGTCTTCTGCCGTGCCCTCTTTATCGTCTTCGCTCTTCGACTCATCGTCCTCTTCGTTCTGCACGGCGTCGTCCGTGGCGTCCTCTTCGTCTTCAACGTCTGACACGTCTGCCTCGTCATTTTGCGCCCACACGCCGTCGCCACCGCGGCGCTCGCGCATGATCTGAATCGCCGCCAAGTGCTGGCCGTACTTGTTGCCAAAGATGTTGTGGTACCCACCTGGTCCTGACGCACACCCGCGGCATCCAGAATGCCGTTCTTGGATCTGTTGGCCATCCGCTAGTTGCTGCCTCGGGACTCGGCAAATGCTGACTGTGCCGTAGTTGTAGTTCTTCGAGTTGATCGCGAATGTGCTGCACAAACGCTCGTATCCTGGCTTTTTCCACTTGGCAATCAAGTTGGCATCGGCCAACTTCATGCGCAGGCAGTACTCGTACACCTCTTTCGAGATCTTCTTGTACTTGTAATACATGTCGTACACATAGCGACTTCGTTGCCAGTTGATTTGCTGGATCGGCCACATCGCTTCGCACTTTCGGAGGCCTTCATGCGGGTCTGTCGTGCGTTCTCTCAGTTCGCTCTCGAGCGCATCCATCACAGGCTGAATGTACTCATACCCCGGCGGCGGACGCCCCTTCTTCGTGAACCGGGACATGTCCTCCACACACGAATTCAATCGAGAGGTCGGGTTATTTGCGAGCACTATTAAACTACCTTCATCTTTGTATGCCTTTTAATTCCATCGGGGAATACATGGGCATACAAAAACCAAGTGAAAATGGTTCATGAAAGGATTGGCGTCCGGCCCATTTAACTTGGAATTTGTATATGTGGCAGGTAACGTACACACAGCTTGAATGGCAGCAGACTGGAAAACCTTTGAAACTTAATATCCGCCTCCTCGATCGAATGGTGGCCATTCTTGAATTCTCCCACCCTCCAAGATGCAAAACGACGCTGGCCAAAACATCGACATCTACATCCCCCGCAAGTGCTCGTGGACCAACCGCATCCTCTCGGCCAAGGACCACGCTTCCGTGCAAATTGCCGTCGCCAAGGTGGATGCGAACGGTGTCTACACCGGCCAAAACGACGTGTACGCGTTGTCTGGGTACATCCGCGCCAAGGGTGAAGGCGACCATGCGTTGACCGACTTGGTCCGCAAGGCTGAAGAAAAGAACTAAGTTATCGACATACACGAGTGTACTCTAGTGACTCTTTGCCGTTGACGGTATGGCTTCGCGCCGTTCTTGGCGGCTGCGAACACTGCGTCAGTAGCTGGGTTCAATAACAGGTTCAATTGTATCCTTGGGATTTGGGGATAGACACTGCGGTTGTGGATCTTGTTCAGTTGCTCTCTCTTTTCAACCCTCTGTGTTCTCGAAGCCCTGCACACAAATTGCCCAGGGAAAGTCGCTGTTAACTACCCACATGACCTGTCTATAGCGTTCACGCCCAAGCAAGTAGGCGCAGTCGTCGTCGCGCACGGGTAGCCTTGCGATCATGACGTTTTCTAGCCCTGAAAGAAGAAACGTCACGGTACCGGCCAACACCAGGATGCGACACGTGATGGAATGAACGTACTCGTTGGCCGCGTTGCATCATCGAGGCCGACACAACCTTCATCGTATCGATGTATCGCTCAATGCACAGGGACAAGCATTGTTGTTGCTTGCTGTCGAGCCGTTCCTGTGGTCGGGTGATGCACTTGTTAAAGCACTTTTCCTGGACAGCCTGCGTCAATTCTTGCAGGCCTTGCTGTTGCACTTCAGCGCGGACCTACGTAAACGGCGGGTGAGACTCGTGGCTTCGTGATGCGATGCTGAGCGGCTCGAATAGAAGCGGTTGATAGGCAGTACCCGCGCGATGATCTCGTTCTTTTGTTGGGCGGTGAGGCTCGCTTCGTCCATGACAACTTTGGTTCTCTCGATCACACTGTGCTGCGCCACCCAACACATACTATTAGTATACGGAATAGTAGTACTAGAAAGCGCCACCTGCACGCATACTCAATTGAACCGAAACTCATTTACGAGTACTTTTGCATATTCTCCGTGTCGACATGCTCATAAACGATGGCGACTCCACGATGGAGCGCAGTGCGAGCTCCATCAACGTCGACTAGATCGCAAAATGATACGACTCGCTCCGCCCGCCTTGCCCGTTGAACTCGGGTGCTCCTGTATGTCGCATAACAGGAAATTGCAATTTTTTACCAAAAAATCACGCAAAATGGCGATATTTAATGAATATCCGGAAAATTCGCCGATATCGAGATCGCTCCATTGTTTTGCTCGCCGAGCGCGCGATGAGTGTCGTCGGCGATATCGTGCACAGCATTCACCAGAAGAAGCTGGATCAAGGTGTTCTGCACGCATTCAAGCAAGAGATTGAATGGAGTACCCAAGCAAAAGTTCTCGCATTGCGCAACTTGTCTGACCACCTTGGACTCACTCCTGAATTGTCCGATGATTGTGGGTCCGACGTGTCGTCGTCGTCGTCCGACAGCACCACTTCTGACGTGAACGAGATCGTGCCGCGCTTGCCGAGCGAACGCGTCGCTACCATGTCTGAAGAGGAAGTCGCCGTGTTCCTCCGATTTGGGCTTCCACTCGTCCAAGCGTTGCGAACGTGTCTAAGCGAGTGTGCGAGTGGGGTTGTGCCGTCCATCTTGTCGTCATGGGCTTCGTTAGCTCTAAAATGGTGTGTACAAGCGTCCTCCCTTGACCTTCTCTCAGCTCTTGAGCCATTTCTGGTCGGCGTGTGCATATCTCAACTGGATCTTGTCGAGATAGCCCAGACAAGTCTCGACGATTCATGCTTGAGTGATCTGGTCGATATTGTCACCCAACGAAGCCCTGCGTTCGAGTGGAGGCAGAAAAGCGACAGCTTGGAACTGAACGCGCTCTTGCAAGTCGGTCGCCACAAGCCATGTTATCTTTACCAGACCATGCTACCGAAGTTGGCCGATCGCCAGATGCCACTCCACAGACAAGTCATGCACTGGGTCTTGCTTGGGCATGTTGCGGTGCAGCCATGGTTCGACGCGAACGAATTTAAAGCTACGTCGTTGTGGGATTTCTTGGTTGAGTCGTCCGCATCGCCTCAGCAAGGCTTGCCGACGACCGTGCTCTCGCTGTGGCTGATGTCCGTCCTGCTGTCATCACCAACTCCGTGTCTAGACGCATCGACCGCTTCCAATGTACTCAGAGCACTACGCCAAGCCATCGTGACATGCACCGCAGAGCTGCCGTCCCTCGTGAATCCATCGGATTTGGCAGGGACCAGTCCACACGCGATGTTGGGGCACATTCAGCTCGCGGACGTTATCCCAAACTTCACACTGGAACAAGTGCACACGTCGTTCTCGACGTTTCTGAGCCATTTTGACGCGCACCAAGGCGCGGGGGACGCCTACCGAGTCGATCCGTTGCCTTCATCGACGCAGCTCGAGACTTTTCAGGACGTTCCAATGCCGGGATTTGTCGTGCAGCAAGTTGAGCTGTGGATTGGATCAGCGACATCCACGACTGGTGGCGCGGGGGTCCGTGCTCTTCGGGTGACTCTTCGAGATGGTGGGGGCATTGGCTGGTTGTCTGAACCGTTCGTCTCATGTGGTGCGTAGAGTTTGGCGCAGTCCACGTGCTGCCGTTGCATGGAGATGGCAGCGTCCAGCACCAAGCGTTTGGGACGCGGCATGTTTTTGCCGTGGACCGTGATGAGTTTATTACGTGCATCGACATGTCGTGCTATGAGAACTTGCATGCGAAGCAGCCGAGCCAGCGCCGCCGCACCTTTCTCGGCGCCGTCCGCTTCACCACGACAAAGCACGAGTACCCGTGGATAGGTACCCCCAGTCGTTTGTCAAATCTCGACTTGTCCATCAAGAGCGACAGAAT